AGGTCACGATAAAACAAAACCAAACATATAGAAAACGTGTTAATGTAAAAAATTTGGTCATAAAAATGAAAAAACAAATGTACCACATAAACTAAAATATCAGTTGATGGGCAATTAAAAGTTAAAATCTATATGAATCAATATGAATCTCCAATTTTACTATAAATAACACATACTTTATGATTTAAAAAATGCTGATTGTCGAGCAGAAAGTCCCTGATGATCTGAGATGGAGTAACTTTAACAACAATCTAAATTAAACGATATCAAGAAAAACTCCTAAACTTAACAAAAAGTGTTTCTGAGGAAGGCTTTTGTGATGTTGTGTACTTCGGGTATTTTATCCCGTCACTGTGTAGCGTTTATATAATTTATTTTTCATTTAATCAGCCTCTGAAGCTGCTTTTTTTCTTCTTCACGCCTCAGTTAAGGCTCCTGGATAAACCCCAGAGTAGAGAAAAGGATTGCTCCAGATTTCAGGGAGAGAAAGTCTGACTGAACGATGGAGAAACCATCACCTGAAGTCGATGGTGTTGAGTCCGATGAGTGTGTCCGCTAACAGTCCGGCCTCCTCTCCCAGCATGATGGCTCCGTCTTCATAAAACCTCCTGCAAGTCAACACATGCAGCGGTAAACAGAGCAGACACGTGCAGCTGCAACACGTCCAATAACTTCACTTTAAGAGACGTATTCGCTTTGATAGGATGTTTTACGTGTGAGACCTGGTGGTTTTGAAGTCCCTCAGTGCAAATGAGACGTACTCCGACAGCCTCTTCTCCATCAGCACCACTCTGATCCAAGCTCTGCCCTGAAGACACCAACAGGACACACCGCAAGCTTATTTCATGTCTCATTATATGTCTCACGGGGCATAAATGTCTTGACTGAACAGCTGTTTATGATGCGACATATGGAAATAAATGTTTTCTATCAATGCTTGACTTGAATTAAATCCACATAGTCAGTATTCAGTCAGTCTCGCTGCTGAAAATCCAATAAAATATGCTGAAAAGTCATTGAGGTGATTTTAAAAATGCCTTTTCTGCTGAAAATGTTCCTGTAAAACTGAGCTTGTATCTCACCTGCAGCCCGTTTGAGTATCTGGAGTTAAAACTACAGTTTTTGTGACTAGATTTTTGTCCTAGATTGTGGAGCTAGATCTCCATGGTAACTGATGCTTTGGAGCTAGATCTCCATGGTAACTGATGCTGTGGAGCTAGATCTCCATGATAACTGATGCTGTGGAGCTAGATCTCCATGGTAACTGATGCTGTGGAGCTAACCTGGTTCAGGTCCAGGTTATGTTCAGAGTTTAGGATTTAAATTGGCTGAAAGAGCGTCTCCCTTTAACCCGATGGTTTCCTGACTATTATTTATGAGCGATACAGATTCTCAGCTGCGGGAATGTGTTTTTTCTGCTAACATGCTGAGTTGTGCGTCACTGATATCACTGAATGAAGCCGTGTAGTTACAGCATCATGTTGCCATGGGAACCAGATGTATTTAGTTGGCGATGCAGAAATCACATAAATATGTTTTCATGTTTGGCTCTGATTTGCTGTCAGGTCCGTTTACTCTGCTGCTACTGCAGCTGATAGAACACAGATTAGAACATGGATTATTCTGCTGGTATTTATCACAAAGAATATTCAATCAATATCAATTTTTACTTTGATTTGGACAAAAACTAAAGTGATTTCCTGCATTATGGGACAGAGTCAGACCTAAATGAGCTTCAATGCAAGATCATGTTTAAATGTATGAAGTTTAATGTTGAACTTTAACGTGCAGCTGTCGGTTGGAAATAATGCATCAGTAAAATAAATATACTAACTTGTTTAACAGTTTTCTACCAGCATTCCTATCTTGCACCATTTGCAGTAGCGGTTTATGTCTATTTTCCTCATTGTTCTCCATTATAACAATGTGTAGACTGAAGCAGCTGCATTTGATCGATTCATTTTGTGCAGAAGAAGAGTCACGTGACGCGTTAAACGCCTCCTTTTATGTAAACAGGGTTGTAGCAGGAAGTCTGACGTAAAGAAAGTTGATAAACACCTTCATGATACCTGTGATCTCTGACTGGGGTTTAGGTATCGCTGAGCCAAAATGACACTGAAGCAAAGTCAGAAGCACTGCTCATAAGCAAGTGTATATATATGTATATAAATATACTTTCTCTCTATCTCACATCTGCCTTTTTTTTGGTATTGTTAATATTTTATTTTATTTTGGTATCTGTTTTCTGCTTCTTTGCACCAATGGACCAAGTCAAATTCCTGGTGATGTAAAAATTGCTTGGCAATAAAACTGATTCTGATTCTGATTCTGATTCTGATTCTGATGTCAGAGCAGCCTGAGAACAAAGTTTAGTAAATTTCCACGAGTCTCTCACGAACGAGGCTCTGGTTCTCCACAACTGATGAGATCGTTCTATTTCACAGCGTTATCTAAACATCTGATCCACCACAGCGGCCGCCGTTACTTCTGCTGATCAAGTGCTCTGATGAACCCACATCCAGCAACAATTCTCACATGAGCAGCATCATCACAACAGCTCAGAGCAGTCATAATGAGCTTTAACACATCTACAGCTGGAATTTATGTTGTTGATTTCTGTCTTTTTAATTCTGAAAAGTCAAACTTTAGATGTTGATTTTAAACATTAGAGATCCTTGTGGCAGCATCCCTCCTATATACTTATCAATAATTCTATTTTTACACTGTACTTTGACTTTTTAACACTCTTTTTATTGTAAATAACACTTTTGCACCTCATTCCTTCAACTAGCACTATTTGCACGCTAATCGCACACTCTTTTGTACATTGTTTCCTTATTTTTCATGCTAAATGTAACACGTGTGAGTTACTGGATACCTTGAATTTCCCTAAAATGATGAATAAACTATCTATTGTTTGCCATAGCAGAACAATGTCTGCTCCGGTTGTTTCCTCTCCCGTACACGACATAAGACTGAGTCACACTGAACTTTTTAACCTTTTTTGACTGTGCTTCTGTTGTTCTTTTTCTAAGAGGATAATGCAAAGTAAGCCAAAATCTCAAAGGCCTGACTCTGCACTAAGCAGCAGCAGATGTAGTTCTGTGGATGTAAAACTGGTTTATATCTCGCAAAATACGCATTCTAGCGATCAGATTCTTTGTTTTTGTTTGACTCTCAAGTGTTTTTTCTTGTCTTCCCGGACGGTTTTATGCTCACCTTGGCTCTCGACGAGCGCACATTCTCCATGCTCTCGATGCTTCGGATGCAATTATGAGGTACTTTGCTGCAGGCGGCTTTTACGTAATCCCAGAAACTGCGAGGACTCTCGTAGCCAAACCAAGTTGTCTGACCTGAGAGAGGGAAAAAACACTCAGAAAACAGGGATTTGCACAAACATGAATCAGTAGGGCTGCATTATTTTTATTGTCAACTAATCTGTTTGTATTTTTCTCGATCAATCGATTAGTTGTTTGGTCAGTAAAATGCCAATCAGTGTTTCTAAAAGTCCAAAATAACGTCGTCCAATGTCTCGTTTTGTCCACAAACCACAAATATTCAGTTCACTGTCAAAGTGGAGTGAAGAAACTAGAAAATATTAACATTTAAGAAGCTGCAATCACAGAATGTGGACCTAAAAAACATACTCAAAGTCATTATTCAGACTGATTTGCATTTTAAAGATGCACAGAGCAACTTGTGTTGTGCAGAAAAGATTTAGAGGAGACATAAATTGTACACTTATTTGAATTATTGAAATATACAAAGTCCATTTTCAGAAAGTACAGACTCCAGATTCTGACAATTACATTAATAATGCTCTCCACTAGCTTCTGCACTTATTAGATGAATCTCATAAATAGCAAATGAGAGGCCCATTGATAACTAAACCTGACAGAAATTCAACATTTTGCAGATTTGAACGCTGGTGATGTGAAATATTCTGCTCATTTCTGGCATCATCTTTCATCAGATGAAGGCAAATAATGTTGCTTTTTACACATTTTGCTCGTATGTGTTGGTTTTTTTATGATCAGCTGCACGTCTGAGGAGGATTTTAGTAGAAAACGGCTCCGTACGTACCTTTGAGTCGATGGCTGAGGATGTGCTCCAGGATGGAAACGAAGTTAACGAACTCCGGAGACGAGTCGTCTATCGTCTCGAAGCAGGAGCGATCCAGCAGAGTCTTCACAGAAAACCTGGACGGGAGACAAGAAACACACACACACACACAAACAATGGGATTAGAATTAATTATTAAAACTGTGTCTTAAAGGGCAGCTTCACCAAATCGTTTAATGATAGAATAAATTAACTGTGTTTTAAAGCAGAGTTACGAGAGTTTATTCCACCTCCAATCATCAGGGTCCTTCTGCTCACTGATTTAACTGAAGCTTTATTATCATAAACTCTGGATATTTAAAATTGTACATGTGAAATTTTGGCTTGACATTAAAATATTTCTAAATTTTCTGAAAAACTGCATCGATCCACTTTCAGCACACGTTTTTTTTTTACAGTTCGAGGCTGTTTGAACGACAATATCTCAGAAACTATTAAAGATTAAAGCCTGAAATTATCACTGTTATTTCTCATCATGTCATTGATTTAAAATCTGCAATACTGGACGAGTAGATCAAATAATCACTGATTTTGAGTGAGTTGAAATATGAACAAAAACTGAAGCCATCATGAAAAGTCTCATCTGTAAGCACAATTTAGCTCAAAAACTAATAAAGCAGAAGTCAACTAGTGATATTTTCTGAATCATATGTAGCTGCACGTCACGATAATACAAAATAAAACACATAAAGTTCTTTTAATATGAAATATTTGGTCACATAAGTGAGAAAAGTTATATTTTTCTTGAACTTTTACAAATGATTGATAAGCTGGACCACAAAAAAAGGCAGTGTGATATGCAATATTTAAAATTTCTCTAATTTTTCAGGTTCAATATCACTCATTACTTCAGTATAATTCCCTGTGTTGCTTTTTACTTTTCTATTCTCATTTTATTTTTGCTGACTTTTTATATTTCAGTAATGTATTGTACTTATACCTTATTGCTTTTCTGCTTTTTTTTTTTTTTATGTCTTTCATATCTTTCTGTCGTTTTCTGAGCAATATCTGGCACAAGAATGTCCTTTGGGATTATTAAACTTTGATCTTATCTTAAAAGCTAATGTGACAGAAGCAGAACAAACACCAGAAACTGCTGCTGTTCATGTGTCAGAGATAATTTCCCATTTTTCTAAACTGTTGCCGTCTGATTCCACACCAGACAAACACGGACGGCCAAACAAGACGCTCATCAGACGTCACATTATTCTCTTTTCAAAGCTCAAGCAAACAAAAAGACTTTGATTAACATCTACGATCAACCTGCTGCCATCAGGAGGAGAAAACAAAGACGTGGCTCAAACAGCAGTAACCAGCTTTGATGAATGCGCTGCGATGGAAGCAGCCGTAACGCAGCGACCGACTTCTCCTGATCTGATTTCAGCTCGTTAGGCAGGAAGGAAATCTAATGGACGAGGCAGCAACGTGTCGCTGTGGGTGTGTTTCATGAATTCTGCCAAACTGCGTGCAGCCTTTTAACATCAACTGAATAATCTGACTTTAATATCTCACTCTGCTGCTGCTCTCGCTTCCCCCCGTTGCCTAGCAGCAGACTGACCACACACTGTGAGCTTCCTGTGAAACAAACGGACAGAATTCAGAGTATTTACACAAGTAAAGGTTCAGGTTTAAACACTTATAATGTACTGTTACTGTTTTGATTTAAAGTTACATTTTTTTTGGACCAATTGGTTTCTTCTGGCTGGAAATGACAAACAAGAGACAAAAGACAGTAAAACATGATGTTAAAGTTGAAGTTGAACCATTTTTATCCAAGAATGCCATGTCTACAATTGCTTATACCCTTAAAATTGGTGCAAATTCCTAA